ATCAATTAATTAATTAATTAATTAATTAATGTTCCACAAATAAAAATAAAGACCAAAGCAGGCAGAAGTAAAAACAGAGAACCCATTTTAATGAAGAGTCTGATACAGCATCTGAACAGTCCTACTTTCGACTGAAACCACGGCTACACATCAATCCAGCTTTGCTCTAACACGTAATCATTAAACTGACACCGATAATGACGTGGGCCCCAAATTAGGTCGGTGTTCGGCGGAAGGCGTTTCTACGAATATCAAATCAACACGTCACAAAAACAATGCATGAGTTTGTTTTGTTCTTAACAACAGATTACAGATGAAAATATATGCGTATATAAAAAAGATGAACCTATCATCTACGGTACAAAATATGTTACAACATATTCAGGCTACCAAATCCGTAGCCACTTTTTACTCGATTTCGCTTGATATGTGTGTAAAAGGCTTTTGCGCGTTACTGGGAGTCGAGACCGAAAGTGGAGGCACGGTTATCGAAGACGAGGCAATGCCAGTCCAACGCATGGCAGCGTATCGACCTTGCTCGGCCATCCTGTTGTCTCGCTAAGAACGGCCTGCTGCAGCTCATCTCCCTCTCTTTGATTTCCAGAGCACGGCCTGCACTGAACCGCTGTTTACTTTGGACTGAGAGGAACCTACGGATGGACACGGCGAGCAGGTGAAGTGCTTTTATTTATAGAAATGGGACCGAGACAAATGCTGATGACAGCAAACGGCTACGATATTGCAATAAAAGCACCTGTTTGAGGATGTGAAGGCGGCGATGAGGACATGTAAGGCCTTTAATGAAAAGCTACATACACAAGGGCTGAAAGGACTCAATTAACTTTGGATTTTGGACCCCTGTTGAGACAAATCGAGGAATTTAAGACGCCGCTTTGGGAAACGATAATAGTCGAAGCCCCTCTGCACACAACAAAACGGAGATAAACTGTTCACGCACAATGAAAAGACTGAAAAAATATACACGTTATGTGACGAATGAAGTGAGAACAAACCTTCAGGCGGAGTTTTACTCTCATCTATGCAGATCAACTGCTGCTACTGACTGTCTTAACAGTATTAGGCCTCGTTGAGCGTCACCAATTCATCGTCTGACGGAGAGGAAATTATTTTATAAACATGTCACGGTAGAAAAAGTCCCACAATGCAACAGTAATAATAGAGTTTCTGTATAATGCAGGTCAGCTGAAGATTTGCTACAAGCAAAGCCGGTTGGATTTTCAGTTTCACTTCACTTCTGCTGAGCAGCTCAGTAGGATTAAAAAAAGAAAAGTCATTTTGCAACCTCAGCTCAGAGTCTATGGAAGAACAGTAAGTTTGGAAGTATTCAGATAAGCCTGAAGCATCTCAGGCGGACGTGACGGAGAATACTGAGCGGTGCGGTTAGTGCTGAGCGCAAATCATCTCGGCCCACTTTTATTCTCGACGCGAACACGGTGCGCTCGTTCTCGGTGTTGTGTTACAATCTCAACTTCCTCTTTACTCCGCGACCCAGAGACTCTCTTTAGCTCAGCAATAAATAGGGGAGGAGGAGAAAGAGCCTGGACGGAGGACAAAAAAACTTTCCACACGGTCACATGACCTCCAGCAGATGAGTTACATGCCGCTGCTCAAGAGCGAATATTTAAAGTGACTGCGCGTTTTCCTGCTGATTCACTGTCGAGACGCTGCGACGTCACTTTGCTCCTAAACCATGAATACATGATACTTAAAGATTGCTATAATAGGAATTAACCTTATTTCCAGCATGTTAACAGTCCTCCTGCCACTCAGACCAAATGAATGGATTGAGGAGGTTCACCCACACACACAGAATACAAAACAGAAAACACTGGGCTGCATAAAGGCAACGCTACTGAGACAAAAAAAAAGCATAAAATGAGTGAAACCCTGCGATCCATCCACCCAGAACGAAGGAACTATAAATAAATCGCCATATTAAATCTATAATATCTTAAATAAAATCACTGATTCAGTTGAAATCTTTTGATTCTGATCATACAGAATAAAACCTTGAATGTGTGGCGGATGTTTGGATACTAACATAGTTTTTTTGTACCTGTAACACTTTTTGCTCGACCACCTGTTCTTCAGTCTTTTCGAGGGGAAAAACGCCGACTAAAAACACCCTCTTGATGACAGCGGTAGGTAACTGTAGTGTAAAGTTGGCACTGTCTATAATCTGCAGTGTTTCCTGCAGCTACACGTTCCTGGGGAAGCTGTAGGGCATGGACAGCGGCGGTGCGCTGGGGACGAGCGCCGCGGTCGGGGAGCTGATCTCGGGCGGGTACGGCTGCAGGCCACTCTGCTTGTTGTCGTACAGCTTGCGGACGACGACGCGGCAGAACTCTTCGTCGTGTTTGTAGCAGTAGTCCAGGAGCTGGCGGACCTTGGCGGTGCGCGTCGGCTGGTTGACCACCAGCTCATAGTCCTCCCGCATCAGCTTGAAGCGGGCCAGCAGGGCGTCCAGGCTCTGGTTCAGACAGGCCTCCGTCATCTGGGAGACTATTTTCTCACGGCGTAATGAAATCCAGTGACCGATGGGGCCTTGGGAAGGAGGGGAGTGTTCCAGCGGAGGAGAGTAGTTCGCTGTAACACAAAAAGAACATTTCATTTGATTTAATTTAAATAAAGATGAACAGTGAAAGTCAACAATTTAGCATCATGAACATACAGTGTTCTGTATATGATAGAAAAACAGAATGATCTACATGATCAGTCTGAGTATTCCCACTTTGAAAGAGTCAGTCACGGCTGCAGGTGGATCGGTGGTTAGCATCGTCACCTCGCAGCTAGAAGGTCGTCGGTACACGTCCTGGTGAGGACACGTGGAGTCTCCATGCTCTCCCCGTGCAGCGTGGGTTCTGAGGTTAATTCGTGATTGTAAATTGTCCGTAGGTGTGAATGTGAGTGTGCTTGGTTGTCTGTCTCTAAGTGTAGCCCTGTGATAGACTGGTTACCTGTCCAGGTGAACCTGCCTTCATCCTGAGTCAGCTGGGATAGACTCCAGCCCCCCATGACCCTGGTGAGGATTAAGGTGTAGAGATGATGGATGGATGGAAGAGTGAGTCAGTTCATACGTAACACACCTAAAGAACCGGTTCTGTGAAGCTTTCTGTATCGTTACTCCTCTTCAGAATCGGTTCCTGATTCTAACATATTTGGCTGAATGACTCCAATATTACAACTTATCCCTGTGTAGTCGTAGGTGAGCTGGTGTGCCTGAGCTGCAGCGAGTGGGGAGAGCTGCATACTGTATGAGTGTAGAGTTAAATCTAAACCATTTAAAGGCCCGATGTGTTTTGAGGTCGTTCTAAATGTGGAGCCGTAAATTAAAGGCTGTTCGATGTGAAGACGTTTACTTCAGCTGTTCCTCAATAACCAGATCGACTCCCCGCCTTACAGGTCAATGAGAATTTAACTGAGTCCTTCTCTTTGTGCTCACATATACTGTATTTTATTACAGCTAAATTCCCAATAAAACTGTTCTCAGATGGTGGAACCAGGCTGAAATACTGAGTGAAATGCAGCACATTTCGCTTCCAAGCTGCTGCTTCTGCATTGCTAAAATCCTGATTTGGAAGCAAATTCAACCTCATCCTCTGGTGTTTAAAACTGCAGACACTGAAACAGCCCGAAAAGAGCAGGACTTAAACCAGATGTTATGGTGAAATGACCCATCTTTGCAGTGTTTTGAGCTGAAATGTGGAAAAACACTTTATCGGGACATGTGGGACTTTAATTAATTTGCTAAAAAAAAACAAAAAACAAAGGGCCACAATATGTGACCTTTAAGGCACCAGGGGATTATTTTCATGGGAAAAAAACCCCCAAACATGCAGCTTTGGAGATAAGTTTTTAGGGATTTGCTCAATGGCCGGAGAGGGGCTTTAGTCGTGCCGAGCGATTGTAGAAGAACGACCTAAATTTAGAAAATATGCCTCGGAGAGCATTAACATTTGTACAACACATCCATCCGTAGAGCCTCGATTCAGACGAGAAAAAGCTCTCGTTTCTCAAAAAGAGCAGCAGTGGGATCCCTCCGACATTCACGTGTGTGTAGAAAAGAGAAAAAAAAGAGTGGAAGCCATGGGGATGACAACAGTAGGTAGATCAAGAAAACACTTATCAAATGTAGGTGCTACTAAAACAGATGGACCACACGTCTTCTCTCGGTATAAGGACACAGGAGCCAGACAATGCTTCACCCACCTGGTTGCAGAGGCTGAGGCTGAGGCTTGAGGGTGAGGTTATCCAGCTGCTTCTCGTATTCAGTGGTGGGCAGGTTAGGTTTGATGGGTATGTTTAGATCGTTGCTCGGGTAGCCGTTCAGGTTGTTGACGTCGCAGTTGTCTATCAAAGGCGCTGGACGGTCCAGAGTGGGCGGTACGAAGGAGGACGGAGGCCCCTCTGCATCAGAAAGAGTAGATGAAGAAGTTTGATTATACACAGACTTTGCTTAAACTTTTCATCTTGTCTTATTATAGAGTGGTAATAAATGAAAGCTGTGTGTTGGTGGTCATTACGTTTAGAAGGTGAAGGATCGAAGGCCGGCAGAGAAATGTCTGTGTCCTGGGAGGAGCAGGACCCTGAGCCTGAATTGGAGTTCTCCTGTGACTGAACAAAGATTGATGTTTAACTTACAGTCTAAACCAGACAGTTCAGCACCGTGATGTTGACTTCTACCTCGATGTATTCACGGACACTTTAGCTCATAACGTCTCTTTAACACTGAACCACAAAGACGTGAGACTTGTGTTATTTTAAAAAGAAAATTCCCAAATTACACCATATTTCAGAAACCGAAAAGAATCAACTCCCTGATCTGTGACAAGCTGTTCTGTCAGAAAATGTCACTAAATCCAAGCCTAAATCATGACATTTCATTAAAATCTGTTTAGGTTATGGGTATCATCTTAAGGTTCTGCACTCTGTGGTGTAACTGTGCTGCAAGGAGTGACTCAGCTGTGATCAACAAGCGCCTGACGATAGTCATGCTGTGTTTACGCAGAGCACGACGCTGAGCAGCTTGAACACAAATAGCACGTATAAGAAGTAAAATATAGTCGTAGTCTATAGCAGTGTTTCTCAAACTGGGGGTCGGGGGGGGTCGCCAGATCATTGTAAAAAAATCGGTAAAGAAAGCCTACATTTATCGGATAAATTAGCATTAGGGCTGTCAAAATGAAAACTTTTTCCCACTCCTTTTTCAAACTTGTTAATACTATGATTCATTTATGCGATATTATTATTCTATTTTGCTCTTTTTTAAAGCTCTTATTTTCTTTTCTTTTTTTTAATGGAGCAGTGAGCATGCCAAATAACAAAGATAATAATCATTTATTTTTTATTATGTTTTTTATTATTTTCTAATTATTTTTAATTTAATTGCATTTATTTCTTATTTTTTCATTTGTATTTTTTCATTTACTTTATTTTTTTATAATGTTGCTTTGAAAGCAAAGGAAATATACTACATTCCTACTGCGCACATTTTTCTGCGCATATTTTCCTTTGCTTTTAAAGCAACATTATTTTGAAAATATACATAAACAAATGCAAAAAAAATTACAAATCCAAAAATTAAAAAAAAGTGTAAACAATAATAAAAAAAATTCTTATTATTTTATTATTGAATTTATTTGTCTTTATATTTCAACTTTTATTGGCTCTTCCTTTTTCAGATTAATTTTTGATTAATATTGCTTTATATTGCCACATTATTTATTTTTTATTTTATTTATTCTTCTTTTTATTTCCACTTGTATTTTACTATTCTTTTACTGATTTATTTTTGTAATTTGGTGCTCTCACTGCTCCATATTTTTTCTTCCTTTCATTTGTTTGAAATGAATTCAATTCATTTTGAAGAAAATTAACATAAAGAGATGAATCTGTGGAATTAACACATTCATTTTTGAACAACAAAGTTATTACTCATGATATATTAGGAATTCAAACTGAGGGGTCACAAACACAAACTTATGTTATTTTGGGGGTCGTGGCTCAAAAAGTCTGAGAACTGCTGATCTATAGGTTGTGAAAGAAACATATTTCTTCATTAATGTTAGCACCTGTGGGCACTTTTTTAAAAAACTTTTTAAAATTAATGCATTATGACTATATTATACTGCACAGTTTTAAGCTATCGCTCAGATACATGAAAGTCCCGTGGATACCGACCGGCCACGGGCTGGACCTCTCCTTCAGCATGAGCAGAGATGCCTCATCACTCCTTTTCCCGCTGCACACGGTCTGAGCTGAGCAGCAGCCTGATCTCTGCCTCAGCTGTGGAGGAAACAGGAAAGATGGAGCACAGCCACATGTTATAAATCAGCAAAATACAAGATGCTAAAATGAACACAAGAAACAATGAGAAGGCTGTTCACGGGGGAGCGCTGTATTTATAAAAGCAGAATAAAACCACCATAAAACTGCTCGTAAGGCAGAAGCATTTTTAAGCATCCGACCACGTGGTTAAATATTCACTTCACTGGTTCCTCCTGCAGGAAGCTTCGCTGCTTCTAAATGTTTACTGGCTGAAAGTCGCCGGTCAGATGACTCTTCCTATTGTGACCTTTGGTGCACTTTATGCAACGGGAGGGACGCTGTTATGAAACACTGGACTTTTCAACGCGTACCTTCAGCATTCTGCCGCAAGAACAGTTTCGAATAATTCAAATATCGTCTTCTAGTAAAACAAACAGGGAGCCGTACCTGTGAAATTAAAAAAAAAAAAAAAAAGGGCTGGAGTTTTAATGTGCTTGGTTGTCTGTCTCTAAGTGTAGCCCTGTGATAGACTGGTTACCTGTCCAGGTGAACCTGCCTTCACCCTGAGTCAGCTGGGATAGACTCCAGCCCCCCAAGGGGATTAAGGTGTAGAATAATGGATGGATGGAAGTCATTTAACACATAAATACCAGCATAACAACACTAAATAAACATGAATTTGATCATATTCTCTGATGCAGCTAAAGCCTTCCCTCCATCAGCACCAAACTACACAATAAGCTGTAATGATCAGCTGACAAACCGAGGATTTAGATGTTTGCAGTAAGTCATGACGCTCCGCTTGTGGTCGAAAAACAACCGACTTCACTCCTTTATTTCTGGAGTAACTCCTACTGTAACGTTTGTTTTGTCCTTTTCCTCTAAACCAGACACCCACAGTTATCTAACAGGCCTGTAATAGTTTTCTTGTTTTTTCGCTGGAAACAATGCTCTTGGTCACGTTCACGCAACGGAAAAGAGGAAGGACGCGATAAAGGGGAATTATGAGGTAACCGTTCATCGTCTTCTCTTAGTCACGATACGGTTCAAACTGTCCCAAATTACTCACGCTTCAACATTCAGGTCCCTTTTTTTAGCGTAATGACGTTGCATATTCAACATGTGTGTGTTAGCGTGTCCCTGAAAACGGGGGTTTTCTGAATCCATTTGGTAATGTTGATAATTACCAAGCAAATGAGCCTAATGGTGGTCACAGTGTCAGAGCAACCAATGTGAAACTATAGACTAGTGCACAGAAGTAAAAACAACAAGCCTTTGAGTAGGAAGCCCATTTATCTCATCACTACAGCAGGGTACCTCTATTCTGACTGTCCTTGTAAAAGCCATAAAACTAAGCTGTCCCTGCTTCCATATTCATCAGCGTTTCCAATCCAATCAGTCCAAAACGTCCTCACGGTTCACCAGCTCTCATCTGCAAAGAAAATCTGGTGTTTGTACACAGCCTGGGCTCTGAGAGGGCAAACTAAGTGGATCGGAGTCATTGTAGGGGCCATGAACAGGTTGAAATGGTCTTTTATCTTTTCTTGTCTTTTTTCTTTTTTTGTTTTTCTGTCTTTTTTCTTTTTTCTGTCTTTTTCAGCTTTTTTCCTTTCTTTTTCTATCTTTTTTAATCTTTTCATGTCTCTTTTCTTTTATGTATTCTTTCTTTTTTCTTGTTTTTTTTTCTTTTCTGTCTTTTTGTCTTATTTCTTTCTCTGACAATGTTTTTAATGCTTAAAGCCCTTTGCGTTGCTCTATGTATGGATAGTGTTTTATAAATAAAGTCTGATTTGATTTGAACTATAAAGAGGATGATTTTATATTACTGATAACATTTTGACATGATTTATAATAATGTTTAGCACTGTTTGGTATTATTATTTGTATACTTCTGGTTATTAGCTGGGAGCTGGTCACATGGTGCAGGGTGGACAAGTTTATTTACGGACCTGTTCACGCTCTCCGTCATGCAGTCAGCTGAGCGGGATGCCGTGACCGCAAGCTTTGATCGCTGTGGTATTCATTTTGTTATATTTTGTGCACGTTATATTAAGTTCACCTTTTTTCATTGTTAAACTTTTGAAACGGATCTCAGCGAGTCTTTTGTGCAGTGTGTCGGACAAAGAGCTCGGCACGACTTCATCCTCTCAGCGCTGTTTAGTTTGTTTTTTATGACGTCGCTTCACTTATTCAAGCAAAACTGTCCCACCGTGCACGTTCAGGCTCATGCACAAGGCTGGGGAAGTGGAAGTGGAGGGAGATGAGAGGGGAGTGGTAGCAGGAGGTCAGTCAGGAAAGTCAATCTGGCACATATCTAAATATTCTAACTGGATAAATATTGACTGTGTTTTTCCAGAATCACACACTTTGCTTCAACTGGCCACGAGCCACAACGTCTACAGTCTGCTGCATTTGTTTCACTGATTCTATGCCTTTGCTTCCAGTCATTTTCAACCGTCCAGTTTCTACACAAAGGCATAAAACACGGAAACGTTTTGCGTTGGTCCATTCCAGTCATGATGCACCTCTTATCATAGAAGAGATGAGGTTACACTGGATGTGATGCACTCAGTGATCATTACTCATCTCAGGATCTCCAGCAGCTACTGTCATCACACAACCCTGAACACAATCAGTGCTACTAAAACAAATGTGTCACAACCACAAGTACACCGACCAAACCACAGCCACAGTGACGGCTGTGTCACGACGATGCTGCAGCCAACATCTGGATTTACAAAAAAAAAAAAGGCTCCTTAATGTCAAAGTGAAAACAGATTTCTACAAAGTAATGGAAAAATAAAAATGGAAAATAGATGATTGAGTAAGTATTAGACTTTTATAAACTGACTCCCTCATTCAACACAGATGAAGCCACTGAGTGCTGGAAGTCACACAGTTAGTAAAATGGGGCTCATTTGAGTGAAGTGAACGTGTCTAAAGTGTCTGTCGCATAAATCACCTGTATCTGGAAGGTTACCAGTGTTCCCGGTTATAACTACACAATGACAACAAAAGATCACTTCAAGCAACTCTGTGACGGGTTTTTGAAAAGCACAAGTCAGAGGAAGGACACAAGAAAATGTTCAAGTCACTGAATATCACTTTGAGGACAGATAAACCCTTATTAAGGAACAGAAGGAACATGGGCCATGTGTAAATCTCCTTAAAGCAACCTCAGAGTGACCCCCCTGACTGGGAGGTCAGCAGGACTCCTACAACTCCTCTGAAGGAGTTACTTGAAGGAGACTAGTGCGAGAGGCCACCAAGATTCCTATGACTCCTCTGAAGGCGTTTCAACAGCTGAGATGGGAGAAACTGTGCAAACATCAACTGTTTCCTCCTCTTCACCGGTCAAACCTTTGTGGTCAAGTGGCAAAGAGAAGGCTGCTGTTGAACAAAGCTCATATTAAACGTTGACCAGAGTTCACTAGGAGGCACCCATGAGACTCTAAAGGAGGTTCTTCAGTCTGATGAGACCAGGTTTGAGTTACTTGGCCATCAGGCTAGACGCTACGTTAGCCAACACCAAACGCTGCACATCTTCACAAACACAACATCCCCACTGTAAAGAATGGTGGTGGATCCTGGCTTCTGACTCCTTCAGAGGACTCATAGGAGACTCAGTGGCCTCCCTCTCTAGTCTCCTTCTAGTAAGTCCTTCAGAGGAGTCATAGGAGTCTTGGTGGCCTCCCTCTCTAGTCTCCTTCTTGTATCTCCTTCAGAGGACTCATAGGAGACTCAGTGGCCCCCCTCTCTAGTCTCCTTCTAGTAACTCCTTCAGAGGAGTCATAGTAGTCTTGGTGGCCTCCCTCTCTAGTCTCCTTCTTGTATCTCCTTCAGAGGAGTCATAGGAGCCTTGGTGGCCTCCTTCACTAGTCTCCTTCTTGCCCGGTCCCTCGGTTTATGAGGACTGCCTGTTTTAGGCAGATTTACACGTGTACCACATTCCCTCTATTTACTAATGATGGATTTAGCTTCACTTCAAGAGATATCCAATGACTTGGAAATTTTCTTGTGTCCATCTTCTGACTTGTGCTTTTTAAAACCTTTTCACAACGTTGCTTGAAGTAATCTTTTGTCTTATTGGTGTAGTTGTAGCCTTGTGTCACTTTAAAAGGGGCGAAGACTTTTGCAATCGCTTATTTTACATTTTGTATTTTTAATCAATTGACATCACTTTGTAAAATAATTAGAACAATATGTGTTTATTTTGACATTAAAGAGTCTATTTTTATAAATTCTTGTCACAAGAGCAAAATGAAGCCGACCACAATTTAATGCTGAAAAGCAATAAGGGGGGGAAAATGTCTTGCTTTTTATTTGCACTGTAAAACAACTTTCAGAAGTACATTAAGGAAAGAAACGTGAACAACCCCCTGACTGACCTTTGCCTTCTTGATCTCCAGCACCGCCTCCAGGAAGTCGATTTCGTCAAACTTCCTCACCATGGGCTCCAGCTCAATCAGACACTCTGAAATGGCAGCAAGCACATCATGCTGCTAAATCTAATCAACGGTGCAGCACAAGAGCTATTTTCACCTGGTGTCATCAGTTAGAACCAAAGCTCCCTGAAGTTTCTCCTTATCTTATAGTCACTGCTCAGTCATGATAAAATCTAGCACGACTTTCCTGTTCCTCAAAAATTTAAAGAATCGGTGTCAGAGGTCAGACCAGTACAACACAGTCCTGTGAGTAGCTGGAAATTATAATATTCTGCTAGAAACAACCTCCTGGTTTCAGCGACTTGTGTGATCTTACTGAGGAAGGAGGGGCGGTCGTCGGGGTTAGCGGTCCAGCCGCACGTCATGAGGCTGATGAGAGTTTCTCTGCTGGGGATGTCGGCGGACAGGCTGTCCAGGCTGGTGTCGGGACGCGTCCCGCGCAGGACGCTGAACATGATCTGCATGGGGTTGGTCACGTCTAAACACACACACACACATACATTAGTGATTCAAGTGAACAGACAGAGACAAATACTGAAGAACAGGAGTGTGACATAACAGGAAAATGAGTTACCTTCAAACGGAATCTGCCTGGACAGCACTTCCCACATGATGATGGCGTAGCTGTAATGTAAACACCGAGGAGAGAAACCATTCACAGAAATCAGGGTTGCGTCACTGTAGTTCCCATCAGAGCCGAGGGACTTTACGAAAAACTTATCAGAGAGACTGCTTTGAGGAAGAGCAGTGACTGTCTGACCTGTTGCAGCAATCTAAACCTTTTGCCTAAAAGCTGAAGGAGTGATTCACTGTCCGCTACAGGGGAAAGTGGATTTCTGTTTCCGATTAACTTTTATAATAATCACCACTCCCTCTCTGACAGATTCCTGGAACCAGACCATTGCTGGCTGTTTGTGTGTGGCCTGATCGACAGATTTAGTACCTGGCATCAGTGCCTGCAGTGTTCTGCTTTGGTATGTCAACAATCCGGCCCCATGCTGACACATTTCTCACCTCGCCAAACCAGAATACCTAATTTCCCAGCAATGCCGTTTGTGCTCAGCAAACATTGATTGTATCAGAGTGTGGAAACGGGGCGATAAAGCAGAAGGAGTTCACCCATTCACAGATTCTATCCAAAACTGACCACTGACAGTTCCAGCTTCATAAAAACACATCTAGATTAAATTAATAGTATTGATATAAAAAACAGATAAAGGAAGAATACAGGCTGTTACAAGTTCTGGTGTCTGACCTGTACATGTCATGTTTGACATCGGCCCGGCGGCTCTTGGACGGGTCGTACTCCTCGGGGGGCATGTAGATCACCGTGCCGCCCATCTCTGTGGTCTTGGACCCTGAGCCTTTACTGACAGACAGCTGCCGCCACTTCGAAAGACCAAAGTCTGCAATCTGGGGAGAGGAATCGCAGAAAGTCAGTAAGACAGGAAGAGCTGACAAGTGCATACAGCTCATTTATTCCTAATTCAACTTGTCTTCCTTTAAGGGCTGCAGTCTTTAGGTCAACCGGTCGATGGGTTGGTTGAAATGCTGCTTATGTTACTTTCATAAGGAGGAAAGCACCACGTCCATAGCTCGTCAAGGCTTAATCATTTATTTATGCTGGCGGTTTACATCTTCACAGCTTTGAACTGACTCAACCTGACAACGACCGCTGAAATAAGGTCCAACTTATTTCACGTATACCGAGCGTTGGCTCCAAACTAACAAGTCAGCAAAGCTGTTTGTGTGGCTGTATTCTGTTTAAACAGATGGCCTAAAGCTCAAGTATGAACCTCAGTTTGCGTATCACAGCTTCACAACCAACATGGCGGATCATGTCTGTGCTATATTCCTCAGCAGGTCTCGTACTCAGCTCACCAGTCTATTTTTATCAGTAAAAATGGGCAGGTGCACGCTGGTCTGTTTCAAGTCTGCTGCTGTCATCTGGGTGTAAGGTAACGCGGTTAAAATCACTTAATATCTAAAAAACTAGATCTTTATGTTTATTTATTATCAAATTGGGCTAGTAAGGCTAGCAGGTAGTCTTATTTACTTCACTGAAAGATGTTGTACAGATTCTATTATTCTATTTTGACGGGTTTTAGACAAACTGTACGACCAACAAGACGGAAAATCTAGTTGGAGGATCGTTGCATTAACTGATGATAGAAGCCACCACGAGGCAGCTCCTTCTTCTGTAAAGTCTGATCTTCAGGTATTCCAAGAAAAAGAAGAAATTAAGGCTGAACACACCTGATGAGATCGTTCAGCTACGTGAAAAACAAGTCCTACGATGTCAAAGATTTGAGGAATGAAGACCGGCGTTTTCACTCACTGCTGTTTGGTTTCAGTGGAAAAACACAACCTGTCCCATGCGCAGCTCATACCGCTCCGACACGCACCTTGACGTGAAACTCGCCGTCCAGCAGTATGTTCTGCGTCTTCAGGTCGTGATGTAAGAGGGGCGGGTTCATGTTGTGAAGGAAGTTCACCCCCAGGGCGATTTCATACAGAATCCTCAGACGCAGAGGCCAGGCCAGAACAGGGTACATGTCTTTCTGTTAGTAGAGATTAAAGAGACAAAAATATAAATGTAATCAACAAGGAGGGAAAAAAACATGTGCGTTGAAATGACAAAGCAACGCAAAATGAGGAAACTTTACGACACTAAGACGAGTGGGAATTCCCCGTCTGCTGTTCTCAGTGTTCAGCTTTTCTTTCTCTGCTTGCTGCAAAGTTTCATGAGAGACTGCGAACATTTTCAAGTTTCACTTTTGTTTGCTGTTTCAGTGGCACAAATGCCACGACACAATGAGAGGGCCGCGGCTACAACAGCACAACAGAGGCTCTTTGACTTCAGCCAGTCCAGAATCAAGAACTGTAGAATCTTTCTTCTCATCAGTATGTGGCTACGACACAGACGAGGAGATCTGGTGTCTCTTTACGGTGATTAGATGAATTCTTTAGGGTCTGTGATCAGTAGGTATAAGGTTTCTTTTTTTTTTATCAGACAGTGAGTATTTTTTAGGTAGGAGCTATTTTTTATTTTTGACATGTTTCGACTGTCACTTCAGTCTTCCTCAAAATGTCACTGATGTCTGTGGTGTCTTTATCAGTTGGTGGTTTCCTGGAGGCATGACCCGCCTGGCATTCTGTCAAGCCTCCTGCCGCCCGGTGGTCTCTGCAGGGAAGCGTCCCGTGTGTGGGACAGCATGAATGCCACCTCATCGCGGTTCATGGTGTCTTTGGCTCGCCTCCTGATCCGACCACCAGAGGTGTGGCCCGTCGGGCAAATCTGACAGATTGCCAGGTGGGTCACGCCTCCAGGAAACCACCAGCTGATAAAGACACGTCACCACAGATGTCAGTGATGTTGCTGAGGAAGACTAGAGTGACAGTCGAAACATGTCAAAGGTAAAAACAGCTCCGATCTAAAAAATGCTCATTGTCTGATTAAAAAAAAGTAACCTCAGATCTGTAATCAGAGTAGACAAAATGACCCTAATCACGCTACTGTGATTGGTGTCTGAACGATCAGCTCTCGGTGACATGAAGCGACTCGCTGTGGTTACCTCGTGGAGCAGCAGGTCCAGAGAGCCATTGCTCATGAACTCGGTGACGATGCAGAAGAACTCGGGCTCGTTGCAGATGCCGAAGATCTGGATGATGTAGTTGAACCTGGCTTTGTGAAGCACCTCGGCCTCTTTCAGCAGGCAGTTCCTCTCTCTGAAACACACACAGTCATAAAGAAATGAAGTTTAGGGAAGGAGGACACTGAAATACTTCTTAAGACATTAATCAGAACACGAGAAGATGTTGGTGTACCGCGTGATAGGGTCACCATAGACCAAACCATGTGTAAAACGAAAGTGTTTGTTCTGCTCTGTTAGGTAATCATTACTAGTTGAACAACTCATTTTGCTAGTTTCAGAATCAGAAGCCCTAATTAGAACTACACATAGTAGTACACAGCAATAAATCACATCAACGTCATATGACCGTGTTGAAACTGTCATCAAAGCATCGTACAGCAAATCAAGGGCTCGCTGTGCTCAAAATATCTCCTAAAGAATAGTTTGAAATGTTTAGATATGTGGTCAAGAGACAGATCCTGCACCTGTTTTATTATTGACGAAAGTATGGATTACTTTATTGACCAGGTGTGAGTATGTGCAGCTCAGGAGCAACAAGAAGCAACAGGATGATAACGAAAAGAAGGTCAACGTACCAACCATGTCTCATTTCCAGTGTTTTTTAAATAATATTTTAACAGTCAAACATCCTGCACATTTTATATTGTATTCTCAATTCTTGAAAACACAAATTTAAGGATGTCCTCATCACAAATATCGTTATATTTTCTGCTTCCGTTGCTCCTCTATGACAGCAAACCGAGTGTCTTTTCTTTGGCTTTTCTTCCGCTGTGACTAATTGACAAATCGAGAAAGCGATCGACAACATAAATCACAATTAGCTCCATCCCTAATTTTGTTGCACGTACATGTTGAGGAGAAACTACATCAGCTAATGTGTCCGACTTTTAGAATCGGAAATCCAGCATCGTATGCAAAGTTATGGAAAACATGCAAAGAAGGTGAAAGTGGACTGTTATGCCATCGCTATGCAGCAGAGTTAGTGCTACCCAGATAGAAATAAGCTTATCTGACTGATGTAAATATTAAGGCTAAGGCACTTTACTGTTATGGAAATTAACCATAATAATTTGGATATATGACTCTCAAATTGAAGAGTGTTAATTTAAATAAAACTCCACATGAACTACAGGAAGAAGAAGAACGAAACAACTTCAGGATCCAGCTCAATCATATGTAAACACCAGAATAAAACAGGCGTCAGTTCACGTCTTTACGCTCGAAACTCCAGATGAGTCAAGTCGAGTTATTTATACAGAATATTTCAGAATCACAATCAGAACGGTGAATGAGATGGTACACAACAATAACAAGACAGGAATAAATGTAGAATCTAGATCTGAGAAATTCTAAATAAAATATGTTAAAGAAAAGTAGAAAAGTACTCCGTAAGTAAAAAGTACTGTGGAAAGAGACATTGCAAAACAATATTGGACATGAGGTTGAGGAATTGTACATAAATATAAAAAGACCAGTGATGTGAACCAACCTAGCAAGTTTGTATATTTAACTCAAGACGAGAATCTACCTGAGTAATTTAAATATTAAGGAGTTAAACCCCTACTAAAGGACATAACTTTATCTGCCTGATTTAAATACCATGGCTAACAACTATGGTATTAATTGTGGGGATTAACCTAATTTAGAAGTTCTGAGCCAAAAATATTCATTAAAGCCCAACAAATCACAGGATTATCTGGATTCCTTTTGAACAGATTTTCTAGATTTATTTTTTCTAGATACTGTGACTGCTCATGACAACACTGCAGGGTTTCAGCTTCACATTTACACAAGTTAGAGTTTCTCCTCTTGACCCAGATTACTAGAGGAGGCATCCCATCACACCACACTACCTTTCTCCAAAGGGGGAGTCGAGCTTCAGGCACTTGATGGCCACGGTGGTCCTCCAGTCCGAGTGCTGCGCCTTGAACACGGTGCCGAAGCCGCCTCTGCTCAGGTAGTACAGGTCCGTCAGCTTCTGGTACGGGATCTCCGGCAAGGTGCTGGTCAGGCTGCCGATGTTCACGCAGCCCGTCGCCGCGGGGGGCTCCATGGCTGTCTGTGAGCGCGTTACGGAAACTCTCCGGGGATTTATGCTCCGCTAGGTCAGCCTCTGAAAGCAGAACTGACCCTTCTGGTAAAGAGGAACAGCATCTACGGGCGCGCTGCTAGCAGGCTAAGCTAACGCGGCGGAGGAGGACGGCTGGAGGAGAGCGCGGAGGGGGTTCAAGGCGTCTGCCAGCGGGGGGTGGAGGAAACACGGGCACGGTTCAACGTCTGCGCTTTCACCTGTCGGTTTATTCGCCGCAGGCTGTCACCGGAGCAGAGACACCAGCAGCCGCGGAGCCGCTCCGCTCGGTCCAGGTGGGTTTGTTGTTGCTAATGACGACACACTGCCGGGTTCTGCGAGGTGCGTTCAGGAGCACGGGATTTTACAAATGTCGCACAGGTGGCGGGGTTTTAAATTTCCAATCAAGTCTGAAAGCAAAAAAAAAATTAAAATATGACCTACACAGAGATCGGTACCTCCAGAAATGATGACGCTGCTTGTGTGACTTAAACTTATGTAGAAGCCTCCAAACGTGGATTTGGTTTCACTTTCGCTGCAGCAGAGTCGCTCCTCCTCTGGATGAACTCAGCTGACAACATCGGGGGTTTCAAAATCTGGAATTTCCCGAACCCGGGGCTTTCCCCTGAACACGTCGTTGGTTTGAAAACGAGTCTTCCGATCTGTCTATTATTTCTTTTTAACCATTCTGTTGATCAAACTGTGTTTTTAAGCTCCCACATGATATAGTGAAAATTATTTTTTGGTTGTTGCTGTTGTGTCATGAACTCGGAGGTTTGCGGTGAAGGCAAAAGACGTGAATGCCTCTGTGGTGTGTAATTATGCAGTAGTTGTGCAATTACTAAGGCACGTGTTACCACTGACCATGTGTCCACGGGTCTGTGCAAACTGTGAAGCTGAGGGATGTTTGAAGAGTTCATTTGCAAAAACAGATAACTCCATTTTTGTAGATTTTCAGAAAACTTATTTTTGTTGTTGTTTGCTTGAGATGATATCAATCAAACTGAAGCTGAGTGGATTTGACTCAGTAGAGATGACAACAATAGAGATAACTGATTGATATTGTCTCAGGTAGACGATGAACTCTTCATTTGGAGATTGTGGAAACTTTAAGACCAATGTGAAACCAGTAAACAAACTTTGCTTTGTTTTCACTGTTGTGCATCAGTGCAGTCTCCACTCAGCCAGTGTTTACATGTGTTTCTCCTGCTCTCTGTGCTCACATGCACAGTATTTTAATAAAGTCTATTTCCCAATAAAACTGATCTCATTTAAATTTCTGTTTGTGTTGTCAGACAACAGAATGAGCATGAAATAGTGATTCCTGCTACTAAGACTTCATGTCAACCAGCAGCCACTTGCAGAGCTAAAACACTGATTGTGAAAGTCACCATACACATTAGTTAAGTTGTTAATATTATTAAATGATCACTCAGAGAGACTGCTGAAAGAGACAGAAAGTTTGGAAAGTTTTGTGGTCTCCTAACTCATCGTCATGTGTGCCTGCTCGTTCTGCGGTCAGATGTTTTGCTGTTAGTCACAGATGCAGGAAGAGTCTTCTTCCTGAACGAGCAGCAGCAGCTAAGTATAGTGTATTTAAAGCTACAGACACTGAATCAACCTGTGAAGAACAGGACTCAAACCAGGAGTTCTACAGTCATGGTGGAATGAAGCATCTCTGCAGCGTTTTGAGCTGAACGCTTGAAAGAAACAAC